AAAAAAAAAAAAAAATAACCCACAAACACATATATATATACACACATATATATACACACACACACACACACTTATTATTGCATGCTTCCAACTCCAAGAATAAATACAAATAGGCCAGATTTTCTGCCTGGATAATGATATATTTAATGACCTCTCTCTCTTCTCTCTCTTTCCCTCTCTGTCTATCACATGCATTGACCCAACGCACACATGTCCAGTTTCTCCTAAACACACACAAGCAAACAACATATCTACAGGGAAAGTAACTAATTAGATCTTTATACATTTTATTTTTCCAGACTGCCCATGCTGTATCTGTTTCCTCAAAGATATAACAGATGTTGTTTACTCATTTCTGCCCTCAAATGCATGCGCATATAAATGCATTTGCGCAAGCATGTACATGTGTGCCTGCATGGATGACTCTGGAGCTCTGTGCGTGCATGTGTGTGTGAGTGATACATCAGATATTGTCCAGTACTGTTTTTGTGGCGGTAGTAGAGGGTTGAGGACTAGAGAATAAAAACTGACTGATTATTCTGCTGTCACTGACAGTAAATCAATAAAACACAACACAACACACCCACACACACACTAATCCCCTCCCGCTATAAACAACATAAACGAATGCATATCAGATGCATGATGCATGAATGCACTTTATAACTACATCACTCTGTCCATACCAACACCCTACTTTGCCGGGACCTTCTCAATTACTGAATATGCACACACATATACACACACACACACACACACACACAGCGCAGGCTCAGGGCCTCCTGAGGGTGCTGGTGGGCACGGCTGATTGACCCTGCCTCACCAATCTGCCCAGCTCTCTGCCAGAAAATCAACCAATTAAAAGATGCAGGCACCACAGCAGCACTGGGGGGGAAAAGCACTGGAATTGTGGGTAACGGCAGCTGCGATGTTGAATTGGGAAGCAGCTGTAAGGAGCTGACCTGACAAGACAGTACAAACACACTCTCTCTCCTCTCTCAAATAGCTTTGGTTGTCTGTATTGTATATGCTTCACTCATAAATTAGTATGCAATGTATCTATGACCATTACACGGGTGGCCAAAGCTCTCATTCTATTTATTTTTTTCTATTTTCACCATACATGCATTAGAGTCAGAATGTAGAGTCACACGATTTCTAGGTGTATTTAATCTTTACACAATAAAGACAGAGCAAATCAAAAGTGCAGAGGAACACAACAATTTAATCAGAAGGGAGAAGAACCTCTCACTGCGTTACTGTTTTTCTATTCTCCAGGACCAAGAGAAAATAATTGTAGCAGGCAGTAGCTGAAATTGAACTAGGACTGCATCTAATGATTATTTTCAAAATCAATTAATATTGGTGCCAGTCTCCTCAGACTGCATGTGAAATCCCAACTGTATGCAGTGGCTCAAAAGTGTGAATGGTAGAAGTATAAATACAACTGTGTGCAGACTAACCTAGTTGGATCATCCTGGCACACCAAAGAACTCAACCTAGAGAGGCTGACCCAGATTGTTTGTCTGCAACAATGTTTCCAGTACAGAGAGTCCTGGGCATTGCTGCTCACAACTGAGGTACTTCCACATTTTAGAGATAAAGCTAACCCTAGGTTTCACTGAATCCTATCAAAACTAACCTGAAAATTAGATGACTTATCTGTCTATTACCAGTGAACTTTACGCAATCAGATCAATGAACCATATAACTTTAACTTAGCTAACCTCTAACAGTTGCCATTGCTGTTTTCACACACCTAGCATTAAACCACAACTATAGCTCATGCCTAGGCTGCCAGTAGTTCTTTGCAGGACTCCGATTGGTCTGAACCACGGTGGTTTGGACACAAGTGCATAGCCAGAAGCAAGACGGATTCTTGCATGAACATGTGATTTCATGATCTTGCGAGTCTAGCTGCCTTACAAGGTTAAATCAAGACCTATTTAAATTGTGTTTTAGGTGTTGAACAACTGTGTGAGAATCAAGAATTTAGAAGCCCCGACTCTTACTTACATGTGTTGGGAAAACTCAGGTGCTTCATCGTTCACGTTAGCCATTCGAATCCGCACTGTAGTTGTGCCAGTGCGAGGGACCTCCCCTTTGTCAATTGCCATCACGACAAACTCGTACAAGTGGTTAGGTCTCTCGTAGTCCAGAGGCCCAGCAGGGAAAATGGTCCCATGAGGGGAAATGGTAAAGTCTGGACTCAGTGTGTAGTAGGTCAACTCTGCATTCTCCTCTGAGTCACAGTCACTGGCTGACACTAAAGATGAGAAAGAGATGGAGAATAGAAAAATGAAGTTACAGGGAGTAAACAAAGACAAAACTGGGGCCTCAAAGACCACAAACATTAATTTTCCCTGTTAAGTACAGACAAATATAATTTAATTGAAGCACTATCTAACACCACCACTGTTACTCTGATGGTAGTCAAAGTGTACACAGTTCCCTCATCTTTGAAAGCTTCCACAGGATGAAGTGCTCTGTAGTAATTAAGTGATTGCCACACTTTTCAGACTATGATACCTTTGTCATTCAACGGTCATTCAATCCATTATTTCTTGTAATGTAATAAGCTAAAATACATCAATATAACACAAGGTAATGATGTGGAAAATTGAAGCACATTGCAGTATAGGGTCAGGGTTAGCATCTATTAAAAAACTAGGCGAAAGTTGGCTGAAATGTAACCAGTTGTTTCAACATAATTTCAATGACAGGTAGCAGGTTCTACAGGATCTCCAAAACATATTTCTCAATAAAATCTGTACAGTAGTAGAAATTATTTACATACACACTACAGCATTACTTGACAAAATTTCAAGTGAGATGTGACCGCTGTGATAGCAACATATACATTTCCATGGACAGGGATTGTGTTCGGTCTGAGCAGTGATAAAAACAGTGATACTAACACAGTGCTACATCACCATGTTCTATTTTTCCTTCTTTTTCCTATAAAAAAACCCATGAGTAATAATTACTTATTCAAATAAAGTAAAATCAGTTCCCTTATTAAAGTTAGAGCCAAGTTCAGTTCTTGATTCTTGTATTTGAGGAAAGGAACTCAACATGAACACAGGATATCTATTCACGTCTCATGTTATGTAACCAAAGTGAAGACTGAAAAGAAAGTGATGCTCCCACTGCCTTAATTGTTCAATTCTATAACTCAAAGGGAGTAAGTGTTATTTGCACTGCATGCACTGAAAGGACTGTCATTTTGCAATATTTTGTTTCCTACATCACACATTGGGAATCCATGTAGGTAACTCGCTCGGCCACAAATTGATTGCCTTGCTAAAACTGAAAAGACCACCAGGGATTTTGAATAAGCATATTTTTTCCGCTAACAAGTCATTTCAACATCAAACTCTCCATTCTCCAATTCACCTTACATTGCATTTGGCTCATGTGCCCATACACACACACACACACACACACACACACCCATGCACGTGAATAAATACATGCACAAATACACATCAACATGTCACGGTTTGCTTCAACTAACACACTATACTTCTTTATTACAATGCAGCCCTGGGGAAACCTTCTCAAATTAATAATTTCAACAAAACGTCAACAAGACAAAATGTCTTAACTCTAACCCTAACTCTAAACCTATACACATGATTTGTTGTATTTCTTTATGTCAGTATGAGTCCAATTTTCTTTGGAATATATTAGATTAATTGATTATGAAGGGTTGTGGTATAAAACAAAACGTTTGTGGACTGTGGTCTCCAGTCTTTCAGCATCCTGAACAACTATCAAACTAAACTAAAATCAATTACACTTTAAAAAACATTTTTGGCTTCTCCCCCTAAAGCTGCAAGATGAAAACATAAAATATGCCTTCTCAGTGCCCTAAACCACAAAGTTAAACTGTAACAGAGAGGGGCATCCAATTATTACTAATAGGAACACTAATGAATGCTATAGAAGTAACAAATCGAAATGTGTGGACACTTTTACATCTATGACCTGTATCCTGTTTTGAGCTCTGGTGCATTTACCCATTTGGTTCTGTCCGTTTGGTCTAAACATGTGGGTCTATGTAGAGCTGATGATGCAGGATGAGAGTCAATAAAACTGTTCAAAGAATTAGTTACCCGTTGGTACAAATGACGTAATTCTTACAGCTCATGAGATTGCGACGACCCACTCCACCTTGTCTTCCTGTTCCTGGTTGTGTGGCTTGTCTTTCTGTGCAGGTACTTTAAGTGGGCGGTGGCAGAGGGTCGTCAGCAAACTGGACACACCTGAGGGCTGTGTGCCATGCACCTTTAAAACCTCTGGAGCTCGTACTCTATCTCGTCCTCCCTGGGAGACAACAGTCTGGTTTTTGGGTTTGATGGTTTTATTGTGTTGCTGCATCTTATTACAACACAGCACTCATACACTCACTAACACCACTGATCCTACTGATTTCACATAATACTGTATTCTTTCCTTAATAAATACATTGTTAATTGCTTTTGTTGTGTGCGTCTCCCTCCTTTATGGCCTGGTTTGTGACAGATAGACCAAGACTAGAAGACAACAGTGCCTTTTCCAAGTTTTGTTTTAAGGGAGGCCCACAGTCTCAGACATGAGCATGCTGTGCAGTTTAGTCACATCACCGAATTGAAAAAAAGTCTTACTACATACTTACTAATTCTTGTCAAAAAATTTTACCTTTCACAATCACACTGATTGAAAAAAAATGCAAACAGCATGACAAGAGGAGATGGCAGCATGATTGTGAAAGCTTATAGTGAGTATGTGAATAAATTCTTAATGTTATTCAGTCAAAGATTTTCTGCTGCTTGTTGATAAGCTGGAATTTTCCCAAAAGAAAGAAGAAAAACACTGTAATGTATTGTAAACACTGTTAGCAGGACGGATGTTTCATCATTAAATTACCATAAGCAATGGTTTACAGCTGTTAGAATAGCTTCTCTATATGTACTCTGTCATATTGCTTTCTCTTTAACAGGTTTGTTTATTTTGAAATACTTTATGTTACTCACTAGGGTATGTCATTTCTGTTATTTAGATCTATGTCAGACTTGTGAGTTGGATAGAGTGAATTTGTGCATTTACCCTGCACCACAGTCCAAGAATGACATTTTTCTGAACTGCAGCTGTTTAGCTCCTGCAAAATGATGAATAACCTCTCATCCAGTGACAATGGGTAAAAAATAAAGTGCAGTAGTAAGGTCGACCCAGTGTCCAATCCCATGCAGTGGTCAAACACACGTCACATGAGTCAATATTTAATTCTCCCAGTACAGATTTGTAATCTTCAGAGCACCGTTTGAGCATGTATTTATCAGTAAGTCCCGTTGTAATCTTGAATCAGCATTATTGTGTTGGCATCACTACATTGGGTGGTGGGGGAGGGGGCACAGTACATTTCTGGCTGTGTCTCACACATCTTTCTGGCATATAATGATTTTGTTCTGAAGATGGAAACTGCAGGAGCCTCAGATCTCTACGGAAAGCGAGATAATTGGCCTGCTCTGTACAGTTTTATTCAAACTTGGCGAAGTACACATTTGTCCACTCTCACGATGGAACCGATTACAAGATTACTAGCACATGATTTAGCACAACAATGCCTGATGCCTATTTCTCCCTGTTCATTTAATTTAATACTGCGCCTTTTAACCTGTTTAATTAAGTTATTATTTCAGGAGGACTTTGGCTGTTCAGTTTCAGGTGCACTCAGAACTGTCAAATTAATAGTAGATATTTTAACATGCATTTAAGCATTTTTGTTTAAGGATTTCTGACATTTAATTTGAAAAAAGATGTGTTTTTGGCAAAGATGCACCTTGCGTGAGTCATTTTCCACCTCATAAAGTTCAAAAGCTAATTGCCTATGTTCAAATTTGAAAATTGAAAACTCTGGAAAGGTTCTATGCTGCACATACTCTCATCATAATAAAAACATTTTTGATTTAAAATATTGGGAGCTCCTCAGATTTGATGACATCTCTTTTTTTTCTTTTTTTTTTAAACCAAAGATGCTCACAAAACTACAGACAACCCTCTCCCAACTCAAACGTGCAAACACATACATGCACATGGGTGGACACAGCAGGATGAAACTTCTCGCCTCCCTTGGTGCACCTGTTGTTGGCAGCAGTTGATGGCACCTGCTGTGCCTCCTACACCATACACCTCACTCCCTCATTCACTCATTTACTTTCTCCCTCACTGACTCACTAGTATTTACTAGCACTTTCATAGTTAGTTCTTGTGTTCCATAATGACAATTTAGCAAAACGATATTTTGTTATTCACACTGTTATTTGTTTTGGGGTTTTTTTATTCAACATGGTGAAAGTGGACCTGCTACTTGTGTAGATATAAAACATTACATTTTCAGGTAAAGAAAACAACTATTCTTATTTTCACTTAACTATACACTAATGAAAACATAGTTATATATATTATATTACATTTCTGTTAATAGATCTTTCTAAATGCTATACACTGGACTTTTAAATGGCCTAGAGAGTCGAGTGTTTTTAGCTACGCTAATGGCGTGGCTCTTGGGGTGGCAATCTGTCAGTAGAATTGATTCTAACAACCTTTTTATCTAGCGCTTACACCAGGTGAAACTTCCAATTTGTGCAACACTTTGGTTAATGACCAAACACCTGTTAAACTAACAACATTCCCATTAGTCTTAGCTGTATTTTGTGTTTACTGCTAATTACACTAGCAAATGTTACATAACAACATGCTAAACTATGATGATTATAGTTGCCAGTGTGACAGAATAGTAAACATTATACCCGCTTAGCATCAGCACTGTGAGAATGTTAGCATGCTGCCGTTAGTACCAAGTACAGCCTCAAAGACTGTATGACTGTAGACGTGCAGGGGTTTGCACCTCCATTACAACAGGGTTACCTGTTTTTGAAGGTGTATCTTTACCAGCAGAGAGAGCAGCCATGGTTTCGAGAATAAATGAAGAGAGGGACCAGCAACAGCAAAGCAGTGAGTCATATAAATAAAACATTATTTTCTTCGTTTCCCAGCAGTTACGTTCTAAATCACGAATTAGTTCCCTGTAGTATGTAAACCTCTATTTATTTAAGAATAGCCGCTAACTAAACTCTGCTAAACACATTTAATTTCCTATTAATTCTTCACAATAAAAGTTAATTTGTTATTTAAAAGCTTTTATTTTACAGCTGAAAGAGAACATGAAACAGTAAAATAAAGCAGTTATCTGAAAGTACAAACGGACACAGGACAGAAACTAAACTTCAAACCGCAGAGATTCAGTTAGAAGCAATAACAGCTCTGAAAGCTGAACACTAAGAGGCTTTTAAAAACATTTGTCTCTCTGGTCTCCTGTACAGTCTCCTGAGTTGAGTCTCGGAAAACGCACATGTTTAAGGGGGAGACGGGGTCATCACAGGTTGGCCCCAGTTGGCAAGATGTCACCGCATGTTTGGGATGGCAGGGCTCGGCTCAACTTGCGCATTTAATCTAGTAATGGAAGTGAAAATGAGCACAGCATGGTTTGACGCGGCCAAGTGTCAATGAAAAAGCCCTATTAGTCCAGTTGAAAGTACTATAACCTATTTGTATCCCAACCTGCTACTGATTTCCATGTTCACTTCCTGTATAAACCAACCTGCAGTAGTATGCCAGCATATACTGCACATACATGAACACAGACAATATGTTTTTCATTTTCAGGTATCTACCTGTATACGTGTATTTAAAGCATCTAAAGAATCTTTTAACCACCAATACCATTTTTTCTCTGCTCTCACATTGGGCTGAAAATCACTGTTTTTGTGCTAAATGGATTTATTGCACACAACCTCTCCTGATGTAGCATTCATCATGCTGTGCCCCATAGCTTTTCACTGCGTGCTTGTTGTGGGCCTGGTGAGTGCTCTCTACTAATTGTTTCAGTTGGCACTGATTTTTTTCAGTACTTGATTCATCTACAGCACGACTTTGGCGCATACTAAAATGTTGTAGTGTATCACAAAACACTCATCTCCCCTCACTGTCTCCAATACAGTATTGGCAAATTACATTCCCATGAGCAACAACTGAGTAAAAACCTATGGATAAGTATTAGGCCTATGCAAAAAAATAATAATATAATATCAATATATACATTTTCCTAGCTGTGAGCGGATCTGCTGAGGTGTGCACATAAAGCCCTTGGTAGCTCTAGTACAACATATATTGAAAGCACAGTCTTATATTTCATTTATATTTGGCCAATTACTTTTTTCCTCATTTTCTCAAAACACTAACAATGCAAGCAAGAAACTTCACCCATCCCAAGATCCAGATAATAGATAGTGACAGTTTAAGAGTAACAGGAATGGGAAGAGAGCAGGAATGACACGCAGAAAAGGGCCACAGAAATAAAATCATATTTAGAGGCAGCTCTTTTTTTTCCATTTGAATTGTGTCCCCTTTGAACTCACTTCTCACAAATGTATTACTTATTTTAGTTATTATTTAACTCTGCCTTATGGTAAGTCCTGTAGTTTGTGGCATGTTTAACACCCCTATTTCTAGCTATGTTGCACTAATGTTCATTAAACAACAAGTGTGGAGTTTTGACCTGTATGTGTATATGTATATGTGTTATAACTTTGAACTTGTATTATAGTTTTATAACAATTAATAAAAGAGAATGTATATACTTTCTCCAGAACACAGATGTATAGGTAAGTATATTTCCATATGAGAATGGATCTACAAGTAAGACATATTTATAATTTTTGTGGCAAGATTAAGTTGATTCTAGTTAAAAGCTTTTAAACTTAAACACAACTTGATATGCCATTACAATTTTGATATACAAATAAAATGATTGAAACTCTCAACAAATGTGTTACACACTTTTCTATTCATTTTCATATAATTATCTTTACTGTGTGTGATTTCAACTGTACAGAAAATACAACTATTTCTCAGGATACATAGCTGCTCTGTTATTCAGTGTCACACACTGTGTGTTTGTAAACTATATGCATGTAGCTCATCTCCCTTATTAAATAGCCTATTTGACTAATGGTGATAATAATAGTGATAAGGATGATTGCAGCAGTCACAGAACACAAGTGTAAAAACAACAAAGCTTTGTAATGTGAATCCAACCCAAAAGTTTTCTGCCTGCAGACGAAGCTAATGAGCTCCTCCATTGAGGTGTCATAACTGCAGTCATTAATAATTTATGTACTGCATGCAGTGTTGTATTTCCCTACAATTCGTTCTTGTCAATAATCTTGCAGCTCTGTTGGTGTTTCCATTTTTAGTCTATAGTAAACAGAATGATATTAAATGCAATTTGGATCTATTATAATACATTTTCAAATATAAAGTCTACTTCAAATATAATGTAGCTGTAAGAGTACTGTTTATGCATAATGTCAAGGGAAAGAGAAGTGTGAAATGCTTTGCTGTCAGTTTTGCTGGGCACTGGGGTTCTCAGTGTTAAGTCCTTACCATTTCCTCACATGTGGAATTTGGGTTGTTACAGGAAAGAAGAGGCTAGAGCAGAAGCACTGATGAAAGTGCCACTGATTTCATGGCTTCTGATGCTGACAAGTACATACTCAGCCTCCTGGCCAGTCAAAACACATGAATGTTAAAAAAGCTCAATCACTCTTATTTTGTTCTGAGAGCCACAAAAGCTCAGACCTTTACATATCACAGACCCCACACAGGCACAAACTGAGCTGTATCTGGTTTTGAGGGTCTTGAATTTTACAACCACATAATATGGACATAGTGTGAATAAAACTCTAATATCAATTTAACAGACTCACGACTGCAGCATTTCTCCCTCAATAACATAATGATTTATGTATTCTGAATTGTGTTCATCAGGTGTATTTAAAGACTTAATCTCAATTAGAACACACTAACATTTTAAACATTATGTGGGAGTTTTTAAATTAGCGTTTATGTTAAACAGAAAAATAACAAAATCAGCTTCTTTTAGAACTTTTGTTTATGACTGTTTGAGAAGACAAAAGCTAAAAAAGTACATCTCATACTCCCCTTGCAAGTATGTACATTAGAAAAACAATGAGAAATGGATTTGTGTCTTCTGGTGCAAGATGATGTCATTTTATGTTGCCTGAAGGCAAAAATAAAGAAGTATACTCTGTGATGTTGGTCAGGACTTACTTATAGTAGTTTAACCATGATGGGTTATAGATGGGACACAAATTGAGTCTTTTTGAGATTTTCCCAGATGGCTCACCTTGCAGCAGGGAGGTTGCCGTTGTAACAGTCTCCGGTACACCATCCTTGCTGTAAATGGACTGAAGGAACTCTGGAACACAGTCGTTTTCATCGACAATAACAACACGCACCTAAGAGAGAGAGACAGAATTGAGGAGGGGAGATGACGAGGTTGAAAGATAGAGACAGGGAGGAAGTTAAAGGAGGGAGGAGGGTGGTATGAGTAAATTACATCAAGTCTCACACAGGAATGTTTTTTTAATGCTACAGTTTAAGTGAAAAGTCTGTCTCACACAGCCAGAAAAACCAATGCCAGAAAAATCTTAAAAGATGAAAAAATCTGTTGATATGTTGTGATTATTCCATAGTTTTCAAAAGAATTCAACTTACTTCAAATCTACTTCTGACGAGATACAAATGTTTTAAAGTCGATCAAAAGAACACAAGTCTTGTGTGTGAAACTCAACATACATTTGGATTATTTTACTTAATAGAAAAAATCATAACGCTACCAATGAATTTTAGAGTTTTTGTATTTCTGATCTCATACATGTTTCAGTAATGCTGTTGCTGTATTTACATGTGCTAAAACTGCCCAGGCAATCACAAGTGGAAAAGCTGGAGATTAAAAGTCACACTGGGTTGGTGTTATGAAAATTTAAATCTGGGATTACTACTTCAGGCACCGTCCAGAATTGGTTTTCTTTGGGTCCGGAGTCTTTTTCATCTGCGAGTAACCCAAATTAACCCTCTCCTTAACCAAAAAGGAAGCCTCATCCCAACCTTCTCCACAGGCATGCCCTGACCCTGATCCTTCTGGTTTATTTACACCTCCTCAGTGAGGAGGGGGAGCTGCTGCAGTGTCGGCAATGTGGTCCCTTCAGTAGATCAGCAGAGAATGCAATCCTGTGCAGTTCTTTAGAAGCCCTGAGCTAACAAATGAGAGTGGATCAGTGTGCAAAGATGAATTTGTATGGTGTGAGCATGTAGGTGTGTGTGTGTGCGTGAGACACTGTAATGCCGTTCAGTTCATTAGGGACATGAAGGCAAACACAGCAACTTCTACCAGATGGTGACTGCCTGCTTGCAGCATTCAGGAGGAATAAATACAGACATGCGCTGGCAGGAAAGCCTCTCTGACCCCCAGCCCCACTTCTTCTCTTCCATACGAACACAGCATCACTCTCTGATGCGCATACACACATACACACACTGTGAGTGGTGTGTAAATACCACTGGTATTAAGTCCTTGTAGGTAAGACGAAGTTCTTTAATATCAGCTAATCCTTCAGCAAAGATCAGCTTCGAAGCAAAGGACAACAAAATAAAATCTGACCATGTTTACTCCCTGAGGTGATTTGTGTGTGTTTGCCAGTGACTGTTAATCTTTGTTTGCCTGTGTGTGTGTGTG